TTGTGTTTCTATTTTCTTTTTCTTCCACCTCGGAAGATTTCCCTAAAGGGACGATATATTTACAGCTAATGCTGCTTCGTTTGTTTAATTTTCTTCCTCCTAGATCCTGGAGAGCTCCCAGTCGCTGCTGAGCGTTCTGAAGCAGGAAGCAGGAAACCTCAGTAAGGCCACGGAGCCGCGGAGGAAAGAGCATTAAGCTCAGCAGCAGCAGGTCACCCAGCGCCTCAGGACCAAACGTTTTGCACATTCAGACTCTTTTTTTTTTTCCTCCTAAAAATCAATAAATGTATTTGTGAACGATCATTTCCCACAAAAGGAGCTTCAGGCTGGTTTTTTTCTCACGTTTATTTATTTAACTTTCATTTGTACAAGTAGGACATCTTTATGTTCAGCTGTTCGTTTCCATTTTGTTCAAATGAACAATCATTTACATGGAGCTGCAGAGYCCAGCAGGACCGGTCCGGTCCCGGCGTCAGTCCTCCTGCTGGTGTCGCTAAAAACAATCAGTGGTTCTGCTTGTCTGGTGCTTCGGCTCACAGGAGAGGAACGGGTTTTAATCAGAACTTTAGATCTGCTCTCATCACTGCTGACCTGCTGGTCCAACGCTCCAGCAGAACCTTTAGACCCCGTGGATCCGGGGGTCGCTGCTTTACTGAACGGACTTCAGACTCAGAAGGCTACAGGGTTTTACAGCACTGTGCAAAAGTTTCAAACCATTTTTGATTTCTGTTTTGCTTCCAAAGCTGCAGATCCTGTTTTATCACAGTAAGCCCTCGTACCCGACTAAGTCTCAGCAGATGATTGGTGTCTGTAACAACTGAGCTCATCTATTGCAGCTCAAGCTTTCAGCTTGTTGAAGCTAAAATCTGTTTTTCTTGTTGTTTATCAAAGACTCAACACCAAAATTGAAAATATTTAGTTTTGATAAGTTCAGGAGGCTTTTGTGCCTAAAGTGTTTGTCTGCTTGGAACAAGAAACTAGAGGTGGTTTAAAAGTTTTGCACAGTGCTGTCGACCTTTTATTGATTCTCACTATAAATCAAGTTTTAGCTGTTTTTCAAATTAAGAGTTGTTGGTTTGAAAGCAGACGATAGTGACGAGTCAGCAGTGATTATTCTGATTGGGAGTGGTCTGTGACAAGGCCGACAGTCTGTGGGCGGGGTCACAGCGACTAGGCTGACAGTCTGTGGGCGGGGTCACAGCAACGAGGCCGACAGTCTGTGGGCGGGATCACAGCGATGAGGCCGACAGTCTGTGGGCGGGGTCACAGCGACGAGGCCGACAGTCTGTGGGCGGGATCACAGCGACGAGGCCGACAGTCTGTGGGCGGGGTCTGTGACGAGGCTGTGAGTCTGTGGGCGGGGTCACAGCGACGAGGCCGACAGTCTGTGGGCGGGATCACAGCGATGAGGCCGACAGTCTGTGGGCGGGGTCACAGCGACGAGGCCGACAGTCTGTGGGCGGGATCACAGCGACGAGGCCGACAGTCTGTGGGCGGGGTCTGTGACGAGGCTGTGAGTCTGTGGGCGGGGTCTGCGACGACGCTGACAGCCTGTGGGCGGGGTCACAGCGACGAGGCCAACAGTCTGTGGGCATGGTCTGTGACAAGGTCGTCAATCTGTGGGCGGGGTCACAGCAACGAGGCCGACAGTCTGTGGGCATGGTCTGTGACGAGGCCGTGAGTCTGTGGGCGGGGTCACAGCAATGAGGCCGACAGTCTGTGGGCGGGGTCTGTGACGACGCTGACAGTCTGGGCAGGGTTGCAGCAACGAGACCGACAGTCTGTGGGCGGGGTCGCAGCAACGAGGCCGTCAGTCTGTGGGCGGGGTCACAGCGTCGAGGCCGTCAGTCTGTGGGCGGGGTCACAACGTCGAGGCCGTCAGTCTGTGGGCGGGGTCACAGCGTCGAGGCCGTCAGTCTGTGGGCGGGGTCACAGCAACGAGGCTGACAGTCTGTGGGCGGGGTCACAGCGTCAAGGCCATCAGTCTGTGGGCATGGTCTGTGACGAGGCCGTCAGTCTGTGGGCGGGGTCACAGCGACGAGGCCGACAGTCTGTGGGCGGGGTCACAGCAACGAGGCCGACAGTCTGTGGGCGGGGTCACAGCAACGAGGCTGACAGTCTGTGGGCATGGTCTGTGATGAGGCCGTCAATCTGTGGGCAGGGTCACAGCAACAAGGCCAACAGTCTGTGGGCGGGGTCACAGCAACGAGGCTGACAGTCTGTGGGCATGGTCTGTGATGAGGCCGTCAATCTGTGGGCAGGGTCACAGCAACAAGGCCAACAGTCTGTGGGCGGGGTCACAGCGACGAGGCTGTTAGTCTGTGGGCGGGGTCACAGCGACGAGGCTGTTAGTCTGT